CACGGGGTTGATTGGTACCCACCAACAACACGCGACCCATCCCATCCAGCAGGCCTATCTGCATTTATTCCATCATTTTGCGCCCACTCTCTCGCCACTTGCTTGTCGACAAAAGATCTCCCCTTTATCCGACTCCCCTCCGCGCTTGCTCTTCCCCCGATCTCTCCCCACTTCGCCGTCCCTCCCATGCCATCATATCAATATCTCCTCCCCCCCCCCCCCCCCCCTTTTCTTCACCTTCCTACCCAAACAGCCACCTCCCTGCACTCTCAGGCGCGGCCAGGCTCACCATTAAGGGCGACTGTGGTGGTTCCCCGTTGGTGTCAGGGATACCACTTGTATCATATCATTTGATGATCACGCCTTCCCCATATTCACCTCCTCGCCGTCCAGCGAGGCGGGGGGAACGCTGACTTTGATCAACCTCAACTTCCAGTAGGCGGTGGGAGGCGTATTTTCCAATGTGCGGACGGCAATCAACGCGAGTCAATGCGTGTTCTCCAACAACACAAATTCCGCCACCCTTGGTGGCGGGGTGCTCAGGTGAAGCGAGAGTGTTGGGGAGAGGAGAGAGTGAGAAGGGTTTCTCGGTGAGATTGATGATGGGGAGGGGGGGGGTTGAGTGAGGGAGTACGAGGGGTTTTCATGTGAGGAGCAAGGTTCAAGAATACGGTCAGCGTAAAAAACGGTCCGTTTTTACGACCGTTTTTTACGGTCAGATTGGCAAAAATACGGACGTTTTTTATTGGACTTTTTTGTGACTTTTTTTTTTCCCCCCTGAAATTGCTGACACGACCTAGAATGATAAGGACCGACTAAGAAACAAGCCTAGAATGACCTACTACCCTTACTCTACGGTGTACGACTACCTCACTAACTATTTCTCTACTCCCAATATCTATCATTTCCCCCACTCTAATCTAATGATGCTCTTCGTCCTCCTCCTCGTCAGCATCCTCCTCTTCCCCCTCCTCCTCCACACAAGCCTGCAATGGGTTAATAACCCTTATTTAATCTCTATTCCCAACTAAACTATACTCTACTGATCCTCTTCTTCCTCCTCCTCGCCAACCTCCTCATCCTCTTCCTCCTCCCCACTATAACCATCGCTGATATCCCAGGGATCGATGCCCCTTGGGGTCTTGGCGGGTGCATCCTCCTCACGCCCACTGCTGTCCATCGCCGAAGCCTCCTCCTCCTCCTCCTCCTCATCCTCCTCCTCCTCCCCCTCAACCTCCTCCCCCTCCTCCTCCTCCTCCTCCTCCTCCTCCTCCTCCTCCTCCTCCTCCTCCTCCTCCTCCTCCTCCACCCTCTCTGCAGCTTTTCCCTTCCCCTTACCCTTGCATGAACTTTGCCCTTTCCCTTCCCCTTCCCCTTCCCCTTCCTCTTCCTCTTGGAAGACTCTCCCGCCTTCATCTTCCTTCTCTTCTTCCCAATGCTCCCGAACTCCGCCGAGTTAATGGTGGTACATTCTTCCTCCTCTCCCTCCTCTACTTCAGCCCCCTCATCCTCTTCTTTTGGTGCGACCGGGATAACGGGGCAGCCCTTACAGAGGGTGCCGTTGCTCAGGTCACGATAGAGAGCTTCTCATGCACACCCTACCTGCGATCGAAAGCCTCACGTGCCCGCCTGGTGAAGGCCACAAAGGTGACGTCAGTCATCTTTGTGGCGGCCAGGCGGTTCCGGTCCAGCCTCTGCACACGAGCAAGGGTGGACCAGTAGCGCTCCACCTCGGACGAGGTGACTGGTTGTTATAGGGTCATCACAACCAGCTCCTGAAGCGCCTGGACGTTCCCACCATACATCCACCACCATTCGGCGTCCGTCAAGCTTCCCCCCCCACCAAACTCGTGGCTGCCCAATGGGCGTCGTTAGAGCTAAGCCGCCCCTCTCCTTTGTGGAACTGGGCAGGCTGACCGCACAAAATGTGCACTTATCACGGGCTTGGATGACCTAATCCACCCCTGCCCTTACCTCTTTGTCGTTTCTCACCGCCCCCACGTACTGGTTTCGGGGGTTGAGAAGCCACCCCAGGGCATGCAACGGATTGTGTAGCTGGCCGTCCCATCTCTTGGCCACGATTGCCTTAACGGTGGCCAAGAAGGACCGCTTGTCCTTTGTCGCCAGCAGGCCGATGCGCTTGACGAATAGTCTCGCTGTGGAGGGAGAACCCAACAGACAAGTTAGTGGCATATTTGTGATGGGGATCACGATAGCTTATACCAAGATGAGTTAGCCGCTTACATGCCGCCTCTGCAGCCTCGATCGTTTTGACTGTAGCCTCTAACATGAGGCCATATATCTACCCCATGAGTAGAGTGTGTTTGTTAACAGCCCGAAGCACCTCATAGACCGGATTCATGAGGCGATGGACTGCCATGGCGCAGTCCCAAAACACATCATCAAGTAGGAGCGTGCGGTCCGCTTTCCCCTCCTTCGTCCGTGCCACCGCCACCTGCTCCCACTCGTCACTAATCACCATTGCCCGAAGCGCCCTCTTTACTTCCAAGAAGCGGCCGACCATTATCACTTGGGCCCCAAAACGCGTTGCACCGGGCCGGACCAACGACAAGTTGGTGAAGAGTTCCCGGAAAAACACGAACGCGGAGGCGCCGCCCTTCACCATCATAACCACGCGGTGAACTTGGGCTAGGACGCGTCTCACCAGCCGAACCTTCCCAAAGTCGTGCAACATGAGGTCCAACACATGCGCGGTGCAATTCGTGAAATAGACATGGGAACATCGGGTTTAAGCAACTTGGCCGCACGTGTGTTGTCCATTACGACTTGGACGACGCGATTGCCTCCCACCGAGCGGATCGCATTGCCAGTAAGTCCCGCCAGGTACGCTCCGGTCTTCTTTGCAGTCTTCAAGTCCACGACCTCAACTGTGACGGGTGTCGTATCGTTTTGAGCATTGACGCACACCATGCCTCTTGAATTGATGCACGTCCACCCGTCCACCAAGAGGGAGCACCCGCTGGTGCTCCAGCTGTCCTTGAGCGGCTTAACGAGTTCTTCCATATCAGCCTTGAGTTTGTCAAGCAGCAGGCTCGAGACGCGGTAGGGTGTGGGGAGAGTGTAAGGCTTCGCGTAGAGGACGGCCGCGCCAACAAACGCCTGGAGCGCTTTAGACTTTGAGATGTTGAACGTGAGATCGTTCTCTGCCACAGCCGCACACTACAAGTAGTCTAGAAGCCCGCGAGCAAGATCATCCGCCATGTCGTGGATGTCACGTTGCCTAGCATGACGTACGGGCTGAAGCTCAACCGAGGACAAGGAGGCACAGTTAGAACAACCCCCGGTGGTGGAACATTCACGCTCGGCTTGCGCTCGAATTAGCGCCACGACCCCTGATGCGCAAATCATCACGTTCTTAGGTTTGGTAGCAGGAGTTCCATAAAATATGCTTCTTAATACGCTGTCGGATGTCTCCTTGATCACGTGCTTCCATAGGTCCGATAAAGGTCTCACCATGGCTATGTGAGTGAGATAGCAGAGGAAAATCTGAAGTTAGGATGTGTTGACTACTTTCTGCTGCTCCTATTAGTACCTTGATGTGCCAAAGGGCACGACATGCGTTGTCAAGTCGAATTTGGGGAAGGGCTGATGAGAGGGATGGAAAATGTGGAACTCTGATTGGCTGACATGAGTTTGCATCGCGAAGGTTGGGTTTGCCGCGCATGCGGGCGAAAACAAAAAATGGGGGCGCGAAATTGTGCAACGACAACGCGAAACATTCAAACAGTTGATGTCAGTACGCCAAATGGTCTAATGTCGCGACTCACTAAATTGAACTCATTGCGCTTTCGCGAACAACTGAAACGACAAAGCGAAACGGGTTAACAAATGTTGACCCTTTCGCCAAATGCTCAAATGTCGCGCTTCGGGTATTTGCCGAAATTCGTGCTTCTTGAAAAAAAAAAAAAAAAAAAAAAAAAAAAACACACACACACACACACACACACACACACACACACACACACACACACACACACACACACACACACACACACACACACACACACACACACATTCGATTAGATTCGTGGGGACGGAACTGAACCGTGAAAGAATGACGGTTGGGAATTTCGAATTCCGCTATAGTGTGATTCGGTCTCAAAATTACGGTCGAAAAAAACGGCCGTCATTTTTATCCTTGGTGACTAGAGAGGAGTGTTGGGGGGAGATGAGAGAGTGAGAAGGATTTCCAGTTGATAGTGATAAGGGGAGGGGGTGATTGAGTGAGAGGGGTTCTCTGGTGATTGTGTTTGTCCCGTGGAGTGTGTATAGTGCAGGTGTGAGTGGGTGTGGTGCAGCGGAGCATGCTACGTCGATGAAGAGCAACCAGAAGCTTTGTTGACGATTTTCTGAATCAACGGGTCGAATTGTCGAAGATTTCACGCCTGTTTGTGCCACCACCACACCATACCATACGACACCATACTACACCATACATCAGCTCCCCTTCAACAACCATGGCTAACCGACTCAAATCTTACTGCGTCTCTTTCCCTGCAACACTTTCTACGGCACTACCCACCTCTCTTGCTCAGTGAAGCTCTTGTTCCCTCGCACACTCTCATATTCACACCCCTCTCTTGTTTCCCCCTCCCTTCCCCTCTCCCTCCCCCCCCCCTCCCTCCCTCCCTCCCTCCCTCCCTCCCTTCCTCCCTCCCTCCCTCCCTCCCTCCCTCCCTCCCCACCTCCCTTGTTCCCCACCTCCCTCGCTCCCCACCTCCCTCTCTCCTTCCCACCCCTTGTGGTATCTCCCATCCCCACAGTGACACCTTCCCCTTGGCACCCAATCCGCCCAAGCACATCTTCTCAAGCTGCCTCTTTGACCGAAACAAGGCGACATACTCGAGGGGGGGGCGCCATCAGCATCAGCACTTGCAGCTTCAACGCCTACAGCCTCAAGACCAGCGTGCCTGAACTCACTTTCCAGTGCTGCTGCTTCATCAGCAACAGGGAGCCCAAACACCAGGGAGGGACGGCTAATGTGGTGGGGTCGGCAAGGGTCCGGTTCGAGGATTGTTTGTTTTGATAGGAATAGTGCCGGTGAGTGTGTGCACATGTGCGTGCGTGTCCACGGAAAAATTTGCGCCAAGATAGATCATAACTTTTGCAAACTACAAAAGCAGCTCCTGTGCATTGAGTTCTCTAAAAAATATCTGTGGGTAACCCTGGCCTTTCTCCACTCTCTACCCTCCCTCCATCCTCTCCTCCACCCATCCAGGTGTATCTGGGGGAGCCGTCTTCTCTAAAGACACCATCTCGTTCACCCGAACCTCCTTCGAGCAAAACCAGGTCATTGGCACCTCCACTGCTAGCGGCTTCTCCTCTGGTCTCGGTGGCGCTTCGTACGCCATTATCACGGGAGCAAACAACCTGACATCTGTGCTCTTCTGCTCGTCGTCCTTTACGTCCAACGCGGCCAAGAATCCCCAAGGGAGCTCGCTGTATCTGCAGACGGCCTGGGGTGTATCGCAATGGGATGGGAAGGTGGCGTTTTGCGGCGGGAGCATGTCGTCTGGCACGGTTGTGCCCTTGAGTGGGTGGCAGTTGGTGACTGGTTGCCTAACCAGGTGAGGAAGATGGACAGCCGGGTAAATCGGGAAGAGTGGGCGTAGAGTTGGGTCGAAAGTGCTGTTGGAGCTGTGGGATTAGCAAGAGCAGTGGGATTAGCGAGAGCAGTGGGATTAGCGAGAGCAGTGGGATTAGCGAGAGCAGTGGGATTAGTGAGAGCAGTGGGATTAGTGAGAGCAGTGGGATTAGTGAGAGCAGTGGGATTAGTGAGAGCAGTGGGGGTAGTGGGAATAGTGGGAGCAGTGGGAGCAGCGAGAGAAGTGGGAGCAGTGGGAACGATGGGAGCAGCAAGAACAGTGGGAGCAGGCCAGCTGGGATGGTGGTGTCCACCAATGGGGACGGTTGGGAGCAATGCCCAGCCAGGTGAGGGGGTCGGGGTATTCAGAGCAAATGAAGTGAGGTGAGTGTGTGTGTGTGTGTGTGTGTGTGTGTGTGTGTGTGTGTGTGTGTGTGTGTGTGTGTGTGTGTGTGTGTGTGTGTGTGTGTGTGTGTGTGCGTGTGTGTGTGTGCTGGAGGGCGTGTGAGGATGAGGAGGAAGAGAAGACAATCCACTTCTGAGAATTCTCAAACGTGGAATTTGGGTGTGCAGTTGGAGCAGGACTGTGGGGTCGTAGATGCCAACTAGTTGTGAGTTGGAGAGAAAATACATAACTGAAGAAGGGCTTGACATGTGGTGAGCACGAGCAAGAGTAGAGAGACTGTTCAGTTGAGCAAATGAGTGAGAGAGCGTGAAGGGTGATAGCCATTCAGCTTTACTTAATGTCGCTTACACGTTGTTTAAATGCTTGTCCATTCTGCTCCTTCGTTCTCACCACGTTTCCCCTTCCCACCCCTCCCCGTGCCTCTGCCATCTCGCCTCTCTCCAACCCATCCTCCGTCCAAGCAGTGCCTGTAATGCTTGAAGCCTGCCTGTAGTGCTTCAACGCTGTTGACTCCTTGATTTAGCACTACTCACCTCTCACTACACCAACCACAAAGTGACATGGATGAAGATGGTCACCTTACCATGCTCATGTCTCTCTCCTTACCATGCTAGCGCATAAGTTGCAATTGATGGAGAGCTTGTACAAGTAGCTTGTTGTTCATACCCACGGGATGTGCACATTGCATCACGAGAATGTAAAGGCAAACGCCCACAGCTAACTCTTCTCATTCCTTACAACTACGGTATAGTAAATGCACAATTCATAGTCGGGAGCGTCTGGCAGTGGCCAGCTGCAGCTGCAGCGGCGTCCACGCGAGACACTTACGTCCCGGCAGCTCCACGAGTGGTACGCTCAGTGTAGCAGGTCTACGCGTACAGTTCGCTGCCCGTACGTCATTCGCACAGGTGATCGGGTTGGTCAGCCTTGCGGGACGCTTGGTCACACACAGTCCCGCTGCTTCGCCCGTCTGAGCGACGACTGGCGTACAGTGTTTGGCGACGAGGCTGAGCTCCCCTCCTTGCTGGAGCTGCTTGGACAGAGGGTAGATATCTTTGCTCCTGACTATGATGCTATTCTCACTGCCATGTATGCATTGCCTACTAGTGCTGACCGTGCCTGTTACCTGTGCGTACCGCCTGACCCTGGTATAGAGCCTGCTGCTCTCGGTGCTGGTGAGGCTGCTGCTCTAGGTGCTAGTGCGTCTCCTGCTCTAGGTACTGGTGAGGCTGCTGCTCTAGGTGCTCGTGCGTCTCCTGCTCTCGGTGCTGGTGAGGCTGCGGCTCCAGGTGCTGGTGAGTCTGCTCTCTCTGGTACTGCGCCTGCTGCGGTCTTGCACACCTTCACCCTTGACTCAGGAGCTTCCCGCTCCTTCTTTCGTGACTGCACCACACTCACGCCGCTTAGTCGGCCAGTTGCAGTCTCCCTGGCGGACCCCTCTGGGGGTCCTGTCCTTGCCCACTACTCCACGGTTCTGCCGTGTCCGGCCGCCCCGTCTGGCTCGCTGTCAGGTCTTTACCTCCCCTCGTTCTCTACGAACTTGGTGAGTGGAGCTGACCTCCAGGATCACGGGGTTGACCAGTTCACTCCTGCGAGTCAGCGAGTGACTCACTGTACGTGTGCTCGGACGGGCCGACACCTGGCCACATTTACCCGTGCGCCTGGCTCGAGTCTGTACACACTCACCACTGAGTCCCTTCAGGTAGCTGCGTCTGCGTCTGTGTCTGGTCAGCTGGCGGCCCCCTGCGAGTGTCGCGCTTTGTCGCACGACACTCTCCTGTGGCACCACCGCCTTGGTCACCCCTCCCTGCCTCGCCTTCGTAGCATGCACTCTCGCTCCCTGGTTTCTGGTCTTCCCAGGTCTCTGCCTGCCCTACCTCCCTCGCCTGCGCCGCCCTGCATTCCTTGCGTCGAGGGGCGGCAGCGCGCCGCTCCTCACTCCTCCTCGTTCCCTCCCACAGAGGCTCCTCTGCAGACTCTCCACCTGGACGTGTGGGGCCCAGCCCGCGTCCGTGGACAGGGCCACGAGCGGTACTTCCTGCTGGTCGTCGACGACTACACGCGTTACACCACGGTCTTCCCCTTGCGCAGCAAGGGGGACGTCCCTGATGTTTTGATCCCTTGGATCCGCGCTGTTCGTCTCCAGCTCCGCGAGCGGTTCCAGCGGGACTTTCCTGTCCTGCGTCTGCACTCTGACAGAGGCGGTGAGTTCACCTCAGACCTCTTGGCAGCCTACTGTGCGGAGCACGGCATCACCCAGTCGTTCACGCTTCCGGCCTCTCCGCAGCAGAATGGGGTTGCTGAGCGCCGCATTGGTTTAGTCATGGAGGTCGCTCGTACCTCCATGATCCATGCGGCTGCCCCCATTTTCTGTGGCCGTTTGCGGTCCGGTACGCCGCGCATCAGCTCAACCTCTGGCCCCGTGTCTCCTTGCCGGAGACCTCGCCCACACTGCTGTGGACGGGGAAGGTGGGCGATGCGTCGCGTTTCCGGGTCTGAGGTGCTCGTGCCTTTGTCCGCGATACCACTGCGGACAAGCTCTCCGCCCGCGCTGTCCCCTGTGTCTTCCTTGGCTTTGTCCCTGACGCGCCTGGTTGGCAGTTTTACCACCCCACCTTGCGCCGTGTCTTTGCGTCTCAGGACGTCACGTTCGACGAGTCGGTTCCCTTTTACCGTCTCTTCCCCTACCGCACTGCCCCGCTCCCCCCCCCCGCCGCTCTTCCTCGCTCCAGGTGCTCCCCAGGTAGACCCCCTCCCCGCTCCCGGTCCTGCTCCTTCAAGTGTGTCTCAGGTAGACCCTCCTCCCTTGACTGCGCCGGTTGAGGTCACTGGTGACTCAGGTCCTGCTCGGGGTGCTACTTCTGGGGGTGCTGAGCCTGGGGGTGCTGAGCCTGGGGGTACTGAGCCTGGGGGTGCGGAGCTTGAGGGTGTGGGGCCTGGAGGTGCTGAGCTTGGCAGTACTGAGTCTGGGGGTGCTGCACCTGGGGTTGCTGAGGCGTCTGGTGAGCAGTCTCCCTGGAGCGGCCGTCTCCGTAGTCGCTCCGCTGGTGCCTCGCCGCTGCCCTCTCGTCGTCCACTCCCCCTCTCCTCCCTGCAGCTGGTTGAGTGGTACCTTGGCCGTCAGGGCCGCGCTGCTGGAGGTTCTGGCACTGCTGCGGGTACTGACACTGGAGGTTCTGGAGCTGCTGAGGGTGCTGGCGCTGGAGGTTCTGGAGCTGCTGGAGGTACTGGTGCTGAGGGTGCTGGCGCCGGGGGTTCTGGAGTTGCTGAGGGTGCTGGCGCCGGGGGTTCTGGAGCTGCTCGAGGGCTTGGTCCTGGTAGCGCTGGAGCTGGAGGTTCTGGAGCTGCTGAGGGTGCTAGCGCTGGAGGTTCTGGAGCTGCTGGAGGTACTGGTGCTGAGGGTGCTGGCGCAGGAGGTTCTGGAGCAGTTTGGAGTGCTGGTGCTGAGGGTTCTGAGTCTGCTGTTGCGCGGTCTCCTTGGAGTAGCCGCCTTCGTCCACGTGTGCCTCTCACCTCGCAGCAGCTGCACGACTGGTACGGTCGCCGTCAGGGTCGCGCTGCTGGAGCCCGGGGCTCTGCTGCTGGAGGTACTTCTGCTGACGTCCCTGGAGCTAGGAGTGGTGCTGGTACTTTGTCTACTGGAGGTGCTGGAGTCGCTGGTCCCGGAGGTGCTCGTACTGGAGGTACTGGAGCTGCTGGGGCTGGGGGTGCTGCGTCTGGAGGTGCTGCTGCTGGAGACACCGAGGCTGGAGACCCTGGGACTGGAGGTGCTGGTTCTGGGGGTGCTGCTGCTGGAGGCACTGAGGTTGGAGACCCTGGGCCTGGAGGTGTCGGTTCTGGGGCTGGAGCTTCTGGAGCTGCTGGAGCTGCTGGAGGTACTGGAGCGGCTGCGCCGACACGACTGTTCTTCGCTCCGCCGTCTCCGTCGTCTCTGCCGCCGCCTGACTCTGTTCTTCGTCAGGTTCTTACTCTCCCGTCGTCTACTGGTCTTCCGTTACAGCCTGACTCCCCGCTGCCTGCTCCTTCTCCTTACACTGAGCAGACAGGTAGTCTTGCTGAGCGTCGTGAGCCTGCGTCGCGTCCAGTCTCGCCTGTTCGTCCTAGTCGCTCCGGTCGTCGTTTTCCTCGTCCGCGTCAGCCGGCTGTCCCCGGCACACGCCTTGTAGCCCTGCGTCGGTCCCCTACTCCGGAGCGTACTCCTCTTCCGTCTCCCCCTGCGTCCTCTTTGCCTGACGTCGCGGACCCTGAGTCTGACCGGTTTCGTGCTGAGCACCCTACTGTCACGCGTCTGCTAGCCACTGTTGTCACTGACCCATCGTTTGAGTCTGCTGCTGCGTCTGCCCTGGTCGCTGAGCTTGTTGACTTTGCTGCTGCCTGTCGTCTAGACTACGCTGCTAGTCTTGTTGCTGAGTCTGAGTCTGTCTGTCCTCCGTCCGTCAGGGGTGAGTGTGCCCTTGACATACCGACTCCTCGCACTTACGCTGAGGCAGTGTCAGGGCCTTGGGCCTCTCAGTGGAGAGCTGCCATGGACTCAGAGATGGCCTCCTACAGATCCACAGGCACTTACGTCGACGAGGTTCCCCCCCCCCCGGGGCGAACGTAGTCGATGGCATGTGGATCTTCAGGGTGAAGCGGCCACCGGGATCTCCTCCGGTCTTCAAGGCGCGCTATGTGGCTAGAGGTTTCAGTCAGCGCGAGGGAGTTGACTTCTTTCAGACCTTCGCGCCCACCCCGAAGATGACCACTCTTCAGGTGTTACTGCACGTAGCAGCACAGAGAGACTACGAGTTACACTGTCTCGCCTTCTCCACTGCCTTCCTCCAGGGCAGCCTACACGAGGAGATCTGGCTATGTCGTCCCACTACGTTCACTGGCACTTTCCCTCCTGGGACCCAGTGGAGGTTGAGGCGACCGGTCTACGGCCTTCGTCGGCCACCCCTTGAGT